TGATCACTGGGGATAAATGATCACTGGGGATAAATGATCATTGGGGGTAAATGATCACTGGGGATAAATGATCATTGGGGATAAATGATCACTGGGGATAAATGATCACTGGGGATAAACAACATTTAAATGAAACGTGTTTCAATAAAATGTCTGGTTTAGCGGAACAAAGAATTCTTTCAAGACTTACGTCTGGACAATTGAGTTGGCCAAACCATGACACACCCGCAACGTACCGACCATTCCAGCCTTCAAAACTGTCTCCCCAAGACCCGTCTCTTCAAACTACTACTCTGACTCGTACTTACACCTCCACCCCCCCCTCCCCTCTGACCGCTAAACAACTCTCGGTGCTGCTGGGTGCCGTCCGTGGCTAGACAGTGGTCGATAGTGCTTGGGTGGGCGAGGTCAAAATTTTTAAACAGCTGCTATTAAATGAATAATTTTTGCGTAACTGTTCTTAATGTCATGTTTCTTTTTGATACTTTTTATGTCAAGTGCGGTGAGGCTAGCCCTAGGCTAAGGTACCAAGCTGTATAGGACCACTTTAACAGTAGTAATAATAATACATAGGACAAGCTTTTGATAGATACCAAGTACAATTAGGTAGCGTTGCAATGAAATTATAAAAGCAAAGGGCGTCCAAGGATCTATTTTGGATGAAACATATTTTTTAAGTCCAATGGTTAAATCAACAAGTTTTCCATTAGATCTATTGAAACTCAACATAATCTCATTGTTGATCAAAAGAATTTACACAGCGATACCTTCCGCATTCATTTTTCGACACGCGCAAAACGTATGCGCGAACGAGTTTCGAAATATCTTAATTAATCTTTCAGTTTCGGCCGAAAGTCGCGTTAAGCTTTTGGTATCGGGTTCGGTCTCAGCCGAAAGTCATTGTCAACTTTCGGTATGGTTTCGGCTTCGGCTTCTCCCCTTAGAGAGAATGCGGAGCCAGACCGCATATTCTGCTACATGTCATTGCCGCCAAATGTCGGCGCAGTTCATACAATTGCGCACATCAAAATCACAGAATCGCCGGCAACCACTGAACGATGTTTTGTTAAGTTCTTGAAAACATTTGTTACCAGACAGCAAATGGTATGTTGCAAAATAGCAACCAACCCAGCAAGCAGTTTTTACACTCGCTAAAACTAGAGTCTGCTTAAAATGCGTTGTGCTCCACTGATATGTTACCAGACAGCAAATGGTATGTTGCAAAATAGCAACCAACCCAGCAAGCAGTTTTTACACTCGCTAAAACTAGATACTGCTTAAAATGCGTTGTGTTCCACTGATATGTTACCAGACAGCAAATGGTATGTTGCAAAATAGCAACCAACCCAGCAAGCAGTTTTTACACTCGCTAAACTAGAGTCTGCTTAAAATGCGTTGTGCTCCACTGATATGTTACCAGACAGCAAATGGTATGTTGCAAAATAGCAACCAACCCAGCAAGCAGTTTTTACACTCGCTAAAACTAGATACTGCTTAAAATGCGTTGTGTTCCACTGATATAACTTGAAACTGTATCTCCCTTCCCCCACCCCCCTGAGCGCTTGGAAGCCTTTCCTCTTCCCCACCAATTGTGTGTCAGGGTCTTGCCTGTCACGATTTTGGTGTTTAATTATTGAGTTCACGATGAACATTAGTAATAAAAGAAATGTTTGTATCAAAATTATCAGAGCACTGTTTACTATTCAGTAATAATATAGGCAGCACGCGAGTACAATTGCCTTAATAACTCAAATAATTCTTCACATTCTTTCTGCAAATCGAATTATTCAATCTGTAGATTATTTTTTAAAAGATGAATTTCAGTTGGCCACATTTTTTTAGTTGCTATTTTTAACTTTAATCATCTCCTCAGGCTATGGATGGCCGGGCGGTAGAGCCCCGTGCTAGCAAGTTGTGTGGAAGGGGTTTAATTCCCAGCGTTATTCAGATCATCAAAATATATTGTTCTCCTTTCAAACTCACCCATTTCTTCCCCAAAAAACAAACAAAATATTGTATCATTTTCTTTTGCCATTAATTTTTTTTTTATCCATGACAAATTCAAAATAAGGCATGAGATTGAAAGCATTTCTTTGCGCCCCACCCCCCCACCCCCACCCCCGCCCCCCCACCCCCCCCCCATGTAAAAGCCCCTGAATTAAATCCTACTAACGCTTACGCTTCCAGGTCCAGTGTCGTCATCATGGAGATCCGAATGGCGTGCTCTGTCTCCACGCTGGCGTCCAGGTCAGGAAACAGTCTTCTGAAAACGGTAACAGGTTATCATTGCCATGAATATAAACAGGTGACGTCATGTGTACGTCCATGCCGTTGGTGCCAACGTCTACTCAATGGCGTCATGTGTAACTAGGAGATGGGGAAGTTCACGCATTGCTGTCGCCAACGTTTGGCCAGCTATAACTAGAAGAATGTAATGTTGTTATTCTTAATTCTTTTACGGATGTATAGTGTAATATAGAAGGTGGTGGAAGCGTTAAGGAGAACTCTCATTGACAACTGTCATATGCAATATCAAAGACAACTGTCATGGACAACATTTATAGTATCATGGTAATCGTCTCATATGTGTAGTTTAAGGCAACAAGCATTGCTATGTCATGTGTGAGTAGAAGGATGTATAATGCCCGGCTGTGTGCCATTAGATGACAACAGGTATACCTTTTGTCGGCCTGCTCTTTCTCTTCCACCGCATCTATATCTGGGAGATTGTCTTGGACTGTAGGGGCGGGATACGCTTCCTTCAGCCGTCTCAGCAATATGTGAAGGATCTATCAGGCGAAAAATAAGACAGCTGACCAAGTGCATTTCACCCAAAGACAAGAGATTATCTTTAGGATCAATTACAATGTGAAGTTTATTTTACCTTTTAATAAGAGTGGGAAATTGCCATTATAATATATTTTGTAAAAATATATATACAAAATTTTCAAAAATGAGCTTAGCTGTTGAAACAAACAGTTCTATGCCGTGACCAGGATTCGAACCTGGGTTGTCGCGGCCACAATGCGAAGTACTAACCACTATACGATCACGGCCAGCGCGCTCATACTGTGCTGAAAACTAATATCTACAGGTAATATTTCATCACATCCATGCTAATATAAAATACATCTATGTATCTATGTCATCTGTTTTGGTGTGTGAGTATTTCAAAAGTAATTAACTCATAATCTGTGGGTCCCCGTCCTAACTTAGTCTATGATCATTTCAGGCTGTATTACAATTTCTTTCGCACTTCTGTAAGTCATAAATTCATATATAGCCTACATTTATAAATATAGATCATTCTGAATTGGGTTGACCCTTTAATGGCGGAAATTTATCAATGGAACCACCGGGCAACCGGGCATTTTTATAGAAATAAAACATCCGAGTATTCCGTTTGGCCAAACTCTCGATAACTGTTCGGTACTTCTACGATTAATAAGAACCGGCAAAGTGGGTCTTAACCAAGACAAAAACGTGTTTAAAACTTAATTTTACGAAAGATTTTTTAAAACTAATTGTTACTGCTATATATATATGCGGAAGTGCGTTGTTAGAAGCAACGTTTTACGAAAAAAAAATCTAAATAGAGTAACATTACGTCATGTGATGTGACGTTTCCCCGTCATAGAAATGACATACCCTATCAAAGAGGCAGGCGAAGCATCACGGGTGAAAACCGAGAACTTTGTTCTTGAATTTGTTTTCTTTTCTTTGTCACTGAATCAAGTGTAACTAAGCACGACGAGGGCCCAGTTATAATTTGTTTCCAAACTAAAGAGTGAAACAAAATGGCGGTGCGGGATTTCATGATGAGCTCAGAGCCTCATCTGCCTGATCTGAGAAGCGGATATGGGCGACAAAACCGGAAGCCGAGAAAGACAGCTCAAAATGCCAAGACTCGTTCTCAAAAACGAGACCTTCTCTGGAAAGGTTTCCTATGGCCTGTCCGCTTTAGGGAGTATTGCAAGCGAACATAAAGCAACCGACATCCTATAAAGACTTAATGGACAATTGTAACCATTATCCCTGATTTTATACTCTTTTGACACAATTTGTTCGTGTCTTATTAATCTATTTTAAAGCTTTATCGCAGTCCAACACTTTTTCTAATTAGTTAACCAGACAAAAGTCGAATACATATTGGTAAATTGAGCATGAGAAATGAAGAGAGAATCCTCTACAGATCCACACAAAAAGATATATTTTAAAAAACTGTACTTGTTCCAATTTCTAGAGTATTTATAGGACACATTTAAGCTACCAAGTATCCTTAAAAGATGCCATTACAGACGCATAGCCCAGATACACAAGGGAATAAATGTAAAACTTAATACACCAAGAACACAGCGAGTAGATGATTCTAAGCTCAATGAAATCATATCTACTTACACGTAGGACAGATCATCTTACAGCCAATGGTGTAATCTCTACTTACACGTAGGACAGATCATCTTACAGCCAATGGTGTAATCTCTACTTACACGTAGGACAGATCATCTTACAGCCCATGGTGTAATCTCTACTTACACGTAGGACAGATCATCTTACAGCCAATGGTGTAATCTCTACTTACACGTAGGACAGATCATCTTACAGCCCATGGTGTAATCTCTACTTACACATAGGACAGATCATCTTACAGCCAATGGTGTAATCTCCACTTACATGTAGGAGAGATCATCTTACAGCCCATGGTGTCGTCTCTATTTACACGCAGAACAGATCATCTTACAGCCGATGGTGTCATCTCTACTTATATGTAGGAGAGATCATCTTAAAGCCAATGGTGAAATCTCTACTTACACGTAGGACAGATCATCTTAAAGCTAATTATGTCATCTCTATTTACATGTAGGACAGATCATCTTAAAGCCAAAGGTGACATCTCTACTTACATGTAGGAAGGATCATCTTACAGCAAATGATGTCTTCTCTACTTACATGTAGGACCGATCATCTTACAACCGATGGTGTCATCTCTACTTACATTGCTCAGTAATTCTTGCTCCTCGCCTATGATTGAGGCCGTCTCCATCTTGCGTACAGTCGATGATATCAGACCTTCCAGCATATGGTTCCACTCCTCAGATTTGAACTCCTTATATTTATTGTACAGACCAAGACGATGAAGAACTTCCTGAGAAATGACGCAGAAAGAACGATACATTTCTTGTGGTCATTGACGTAATACATACATATAAAGACGTAATATATATACGATTTTTAAATGGACTATTGAAATGATAAGAAATGGACTATTGAAATAATAAGAAATAGGCAAGTTGAAATGATAAGAAAATCGGCTACTTAAATGATAAAAAATATATTAGTTGAAATTATAAAAAATGGACTAGTTTCGAAATTGTACAGAATCTGATAGCTGGAGTATCAAATTCAATTTCTCCTCTATTTTTATTGATAACGTCATAACAGACCAGATTAATGAGGAACTGAGAAATTCCTTGGATAAAAAACACCGAATCTAGAAGAACACTTAACACTTTTGTATCGACAACGTGTCTTTGAGTAAAAAAAACATTGAGCCACACTTTGGGTGTTAACTTTAAAAACCAGCCAAACTATTGTTGGCATAGCGTGTGTGGTTCCATGACGCTGTTGTCATTTTGTTGTCTAGTGACATGGAAGAGTTTCGAATTAGTCCTATAATGACATACACATCAAGTGATGACAGGAATGTAGTTTATGATTCCCATAGTTAAAAGATACTGTTAAAATCGTTAAACTGTTAAAAAGTTCTTCTTATTTCTTACACATACAAGACTATGGCCGTAATATAAGTTACCCAACATACCTCCACCATCCACATACAAGACTATGGCCGTGATCTAAGTTACCCAACATACCTCCACCATCCACATACAAGACTATGGCCGTGATCTAAGTTACCCAACATACCTCCACCATCCACATACAAGACTATGGCCGTGATCTAAGTTACCCAAAATACCTCCACCATCCACATACAAGACTATGGCCGTGATCTAAGTTACCCAACATACCTCCAACATCCACATACTGGCACGTCGTGTAGGCGGTGGTCGTGCCTTCGTGTCCCAAATTGTCTTCTGCTTAGTGCCCTAAGACATTTGAAGTGTTCTATAGAATAAGACTCTCTTCAAGAAAACACACACTTAGTATAAGAATCGAAGAACAGACGGAAGTAAACCTTGAAAGTCTTTATATGGAGATTCACAAGGAAATTAGTTATTTTAGTCAATTAAACAATCCCTAAAAATAAAGTTTTTCGTATTATTCATTAATATGTATTGTTTTTATTGTATATTAATATTATGTGCTGAAACTTAGCACATAGACTCGTTGCCATGTCAACAAATTCTATCAAATTTTCAGCCCCAACCCCCCACACCCCAAAAATCAATTTGTCCTGTTTCTTCAAGGAGACGATGAAGGAAATATGATGACACTGATTTCACGAAATGAAATTCCCGACAACTGCGTGTCTGGTAGGTAATGTTTTGTTGTTGTTTTTTTCTAAAATAGTTGCGTAATAAATCTGTGGTGTAAAATCGGATGGGTCATTGGAATATTAAGATAGCTCAGGGGCGTGAAAAAAATATGTGCGGTTGCGAGCTTCGTTTAGGGGGGGGGGGGGATGAAGAAAAGACGATGCAACAATTTCTTAACAACGGTGGCCATCGCTAAGTCACACAAAAATGCATACAAAGGCTTTATAAGAAAACTTTTGTTTGTGGTTGTTTCTATTAAAACCAAGTTTCCATCTTTTATGGCGTTGGGACGTTTAATTAAAATTGTTTCGAAATTGGTAAACCATGAATCACGTCAGTTAAATACAAGATATAAAATTCGGTCACCTACAGTGCAGACTTATTTCTTTTTTAATCCTAAATGTCAATAGCGAGCGCAATTGTCATACAATAAGTATGCAGCGCGTGCTTGATGACAAGTTCATTTAATACGTGTCATATGTTGGTCGTCCATCACGTGATAAGATGACCAAGGCCTCCACTTGAGTAGCAGCATTGACTTGACATGTATTTCGTTTAAAGTGAGGGAGAGTTGCTCAATTCGACATCCTCACTCTCTCGTCCTTGCCTGTTTGATCCAATGGCAAGACTTAGTCAAGACGACTGGAAATAGACCAGGATGCAGTGGATGACCAGCGTGTTTATTGTGTCGTCGTGATCTTTAAGCCTCCATATCGCAGGAGTTGTCGGAATGTTCATCTCGTCCATAGCATACCACCTACGGGACTCCATCTCCGGACTTAATTTCAGAGTTCGCCGTCTTTTAGACGAGTGTCCATCCAACCAAGGTCAATGAGTCCATCCAACAAAGGTCAATGAGTCCATCCAACCAAGGTCAATGAGTCCATCCAACCAAGGTCAATGGGTCCATCCAACCAAGGTCAATGCGTCCATCCAACCAAGGTCAATGGGTCCATCCAACCAAGGTCAATGGGTCCATCCAACCAAGGTCAAAGGGTCCATCCAACGAAGGTCAATGGGTCATCCAACCAAGGTCAATGGGTCCATCCAACCAAGGTCAATGGGTTCATCCAAACAAGGTCAATGGGGCCACCCAACCAAAGTCAATGGGTCCATCCAACCAAGGTCAATGGGTCCATCCAACCAAGGTCAATGGGTCCATCCAACCAAGGTCAATGGGTCCATCCAACCAAGGTCAATGGGTCCATCCAACCAAGGTCAATGGGTCCTTTCCGACCAAGGTCAATGGATCCATCCAACCAAGGTCAATGGGTCCATCCAACCAAGGTCAATGGGTCCATCCAAGCAAGGTCAATGGGTCCATATCCAACCAAGGTCAATGGATCCATCCAACCAAGGTCAATGGGTCCATCCAACCAAGGTCAATGGGTCCATCCAACCAAGGTCAATGGGTCCATCCAACTAAGGTCAATGGGTCCATCCAACCAATGTCAATGGGTCCATCCAACCAAGGTCAATGGGTCCATCCAACTAAGGTCAATGGGTCCATCTAACCAAGGTCAATGGGTCCATCCAACCAAGGTCAATGGGTTATCCAACCAAGGTCAATGCGTCCATCCAACCAAGGTCAATGCGTCCATCCAACCAAGGTCAATGCGTCCATCCAACCAAGGTCAATGGGTCCATCCAACCAAGGTCAATGCGTCCATCCAACCAAGGTCAATGCGTCCATCCAACCAAGGTCAATGCGTCCATCCAACCAAGGTCAATGAGTCCTTTCCGACCGAAGTGCTGGGGATGTTTCTTACCTGTCTAGAATTTTTCTGGGTTTTGACCTCTAGTCCACAAGCGTGGGATCGGCACAGCTCTAACCACTTGGCCACCCATCACCCCCGTGCCAGGTCATCCTAACATCTCGTGCCATATAATAAACGAACAGTATTTAGATTTCCTAAATTGATGAACCCTCAACTATTTTGGATTTTACCACATAATCCATCCAGGGCATGAAGACTCTAGAGCTTGTTTGCTAGTGACCAAGTTGACCTCAGTCAACATTGAATTTGGACCACGCAGAAACCGAACACTTGTCATTAAACTCAAACAACCAGAACACCAGTGGGACGTTTCTTACTGACCTCCAGTGCGTACGTCATTCTCTTGGCGAAGGCTTCGTTCCTGTCACTCTTGGCTCGTTCTCTGTCCTCCCTTCTGTTGATGAGCCCAACTGGGGAACACAAGGTACATGTGGCCCTATTTTAACACAAGATACGCATAGCCAAATAGAAACACAAGATTCAATGTTCTACATATAGGGAGCCAATGCTCTACCCTTAGGGAGCCAGCGTTCTACCCAAAGGGAGCCAAAGTTTCATCCATAGGGAGCCAATGCTAAACAATGTAAAGCTGGCCTGCACAACTCAAAATGTAAGGCGGGCCGTAATACAGTATGAAAAACTTGTGCGGGTCAAAAGAAAATGGGACATGTGCCAAAGCTATTCAGAAAATAATGGTAATAAGAATACTTCGCGGGGCTCTAAGTGGGAGCTGGCGGGCCTCTACGTGGGTTCTGGCGGGCCTCTACGTGGGTGCGTTCGGGGCTCTAAGTGGGTGCTGGCGGGCCTCTAAGTGGGTGCTGGCGGGCCTCTAAGTGGGTGCTGGCGGGGCTCTAAGTGGTTGCTGGCGGGCCTCTAAGTGGTTGCTGGCGGGCCTCTAAGTGGGTGCTGGCGGGGCTCTAAGTGGGTGCTGGCGGGCCACATGTTGTGCAGGCCTGATGTACAGAAAGGGATCCATTTTTTTGGGGGGTTTTATTTTTGGGCCGTGGGGCCGGGGTCAAAAACTAAGAGAGGGGAGGAAAACACACAAAAATGAGGGTGAGTGAAGGTGGAAGGATGGAAATTGAGGCCTCCCCTCCCCACGCAAACCCCCCTCCCCCCTCCCCCCCCCCAAAAAAAAACAAACAAACAAAAAAACACCCAACAAACAAACTAGAAATATTTATTTTTGACTTCAAGACGCAGAATGCGATCTGTTGAGTGCAAACACGAATGTTGTTTCGTAACGGAAGAGATGCAACTAGAACTGGATGTCCTCTTGGTGAGCAGTCGTCAGCTTCTCCAAAAGGTTGGACACTATAATATTTCACCGTTTACGAATCGTTTATTTTTTGCCATCCGGGACGACCGGTGTTTGAGAGTATGTGTCCATCCGTGGATCGTCCTTTGAGGGGAACTCACAGAGGACTCAACGTTTCAATCCAGGGGGGGGGGGGTTTAACCCAAAACTCTACATCTGCTACTTCGATAGTGAGGAAACAGATATGAAAATCCCCCCCCCACACCCACACACACACACACACTTGTTTTTTTGTTCCTGAAAATTCTGTATAGAATTGTCTATGTATTTTTAACGTACATGACGAGATGATAGACACTAAAATCTAAACCAATAGGACGACCAGTTAAGATGTTTATTTGTGAATAATCAGGTCTCCGCGAGCCGTTTTAAGTGCAAGGTCAGGGGTCGGGGTCAAGGTCAGGGCAAGGTTAAGGGCCAGGACGACAATATTTATTTATATTTAAAAAAAACGTTGCTCTACATTTGCTGTCTGTCCAACACCAGAGCATCGCACCCACCTTTATCCTTGACCAGCCGCTTGACCATGTCCTCTTCGTAACGCCTCTTCTCGAGCCTCATCTCCGTCTCGACCTTCCTCTTCAGCCTCTCCGTGTTGACCATGACCTTCATCTGGTGCTCGCGTTTCTTCCTCCACGCCGCTTTCCGTTTCTGGTCCTGTTCATAGAACTTCTGCTCTCTGATGTAGTCGATGATGTTCAACTGGAGGGGCACAGAATGGCGGGGACACAATGGCGGGTACAGAATGGCAGGGACACAATGGCGGGTACAGAATGGCGGGTACACAATGGCAGGCACACAATGGCGCGTACACAATGGCGGGTACACAATGGCGCGTACACAATGGCGGGTACACAGTGGTGGTTAACAAGGTCTGGGGTACTGATAGGAAGTCTGGGGTACTGATAAGAAGTCTGGGGTACCGATAGAAAGTCTGGGGTACCGATTGGAAGTCTGGGGTACTGATAGGAAGTCTGGGAAGTCTGGGGTACTGATAGAAAGTCTGGGGTACCGATAGGAAGTCTGGGGTACTGATAGGAAGTCTGGGGTACCGATAGGAAGTCTGGGNACAAAATGAGATTGTGCCCTGACTTACAGTTATGAGAAGTAAATAAAATGAGGTTGTGCACTGACTTACAGTTATCAGAAGTAAATAAAATGAGATTGTGCTCTGACTGACAGTTATTAGAAGTAAGTAAAATGAGATTGTGCACTGACTTACAGTTATCAGAAGTAAATAAAATGATATAGTGCCCTGACTTACAGTTAAGAGGAGTAAATAAAATGAGATTGGGCTCTGACTTACAAGATAGGAAGTCTGGGGTACCGATAGGAAGTCTGGGGTACTGATAGGAAGTCTGGGGTACCGATAGGAAGTCTGGGGTACTGATAGAAACTCTGGATAGATAGTCAGGGGTATTGAGACAAGGACTGAGGTACTGATACAAGGTCTGGGGCATGGATACAAGGTCTGGGGCATAGTTACAAGATCTTCGGCATTGATACAAGGTCTGGGGCATGGATACAAGATCTAAGGCATGGATACAAGGTCTGGAGCATTGATACAAGGACTGGGGCAGTGGTCGGCAAATCACGGCTGGGGAGCCGCTCTTAAGCGCCCAAAGTGCGGCCCGGCGAGTCGGGCACAAACAGGTTTTGACCCTGAAAAACATGGTTCCTGAAAAGAAATTTGGCTCTCAATTTTTTTTTATCGTCCTGCAGCTGAGTTTTGGCAATTTTGACTAATGAGTTTTCCGACCACTGGTCTTAGGTACTGATACAAGGTCTTGGGTAAGGACTTTTGAGAGTCACATTAGGGCTTTACGACCGTCCCTTGAGAGACATTGTAACCCTATGCATCCGACCACTGAGAGCTGGAGCTGATTACTGAACGTATGTCTACATAAACACTCACGTACAAGAACGTCTATTTTAACATTGAAAATCAGCCGAACATAAAAGATCCAATCATAGTCGGCTCCATCAACCCGGGTCATGCAAAAGAAAAGTTTCGCCCCTAACTATGACTGAAAATGGCGCCCGCCCCCTGTACATCATTAAATGACGAAGATGTCACCGCGTACCCCATCGATTCTGGTGGCTTCCCACCCCACCCCCCTTTTCCTCTCTTTATTTCTGCGAACCGCATCAAGCCAGTAAGAAACTAATTTATGAGACTATCAAACAAGAGAGTTGTACCCTTCTCTGTGCCTCAGATAAGAAACTAACTGATGAGACTATCAAACAAGAGAGCTGTACCCTTCTCTGTGCCTCAGATAAGAAACTAACTGATGAGACTATCAAACAAGAGAGCTGTACCCTTCTCTGTGCCTCAGATAAGAAACTAACTGATGATACTATCAAACAAGAGATCTGTACCCTTCTCTGTGCCTCAGATAAGAAACTAACTGATGAGACTATCAAACAAGAGATCTGTACCCTTCTCTGTGCCTCAGATAAGAAACTAACTGATGAGACTATCAAACAAGAGAGCTGTACCCTTCTCTGTGCCTCAGATAAGAAACTAACTGATGAGACTATCAAACAAGAGAGCTTTACCCTTCTCTGTGCCTCAGATAAGAAACTAACTGATGATACTATCAAACAAGAGAGCTTTACCCTTCTCTGTGCCTCAGATAAGAAACTAACTGATGAGACTATCAAACAAGAGAGCTGTACCCTTCTCTGTGCCTCAGATAAGAAACTAACTGATGATACTATCAAACAAGAGAGCTGTACCCTTCTCTGTGCCTCAGATAAGAAACTAACTGATGATACTATCAAACAAGAGAGCTGTACCCTTCTCTGTGCCTCAGATAAGAAACTAACTGATGATACTATCAAACAAGAGAGCTGTACCCTTCTCTGTGCCTCAGATAAGAAACTAACTGATGATACTATCAAACAAGAGAGCTGTACCCTTCTCTGTGCCTCAGATAAGAAACTAACTGATGATACTATCAAACAAGAGATCTGTACCCTTCTCTGTGCCTCAGATTAGAAACTAACTGATGATACTATCAAACAAGAGAGCTGTACCCTTCTCTGTGCCTCAGATAAGAAACTATCTGATGAGACTATCAAACAAGAGAGCTGTACCCTTCTCTGTGCCTCAGATAAGAAACTAACTGATGATACTATCAAACAAGAGAGTTGTACCCTTCTCTGTGCCTCAGATAAGAAACTAACTGATGAGACTATCAAACAAGAGATCTGTACCCTTCTCTGTTCCTCAGATAAGAATCTAACTGATGATACTATCAAACAAGAGAGCTGTACCCTTCTCTGTGCCTCAGATAAGAAACTAACTGATGAGACTATCAAACAAGAGAGCTGTACCCTTCTCTGTGCCTCAGATAAGAAACTAACTGATGAGACTATCAAACAAGAGAGCTTTACCCTTCTCTGTGCCTCAGATTCAAATTGGATCAGTTTCTCCTCGGCTTTCCTCCTCATGGCATCCTCCCTCCTCTTGATCTCCTCGATCTTGTCAGTGACCTTGTTCTTGGACCTGGTCAGCTGCACCTGTTTCCGCTCTTCAAATAGCCTCATCCTCTCCGTCTCCTGCTGCTGCTTCTCTTCGTACCTGAAGTGTTTTAGAACATAGGTAAACACACCTGACATTCACCTGTGCAGGATTCGTGTAAAAATCTTGGGAATTCGTTGATTCCAATTATCAAATAAGCATTCTGTTTAAAAAAATCCCCTCATTAATCCCCTCATTAATCACCTCATTAATCCTCTCATTAATCCCCTCATTAATCCCCTCATTAATCCCCTCATTAATCCCCTCATTATGTTCATAAGTCTTACTAAAACATTGACTATACATTTAAGAAAAAAAACGAATTCATTATTTTTCAATTGTTGCTAAATATCATGTGTGTTTATAATATGTGAAAGACATCAAGGAAAAGACACGAAATGACATGTAATAAATATAAAATTTAGCATGTTGGGATATATATAATATATATTTATTTATTCTTAAGGAAACTGTCAGACAATTTTTTAAATATATTTCGCAATAAGATATATGAAAAGGGAGAGTTGAATTAGTTAAATTTTTCTCATTTGAGAGACTTTTTCTATTACAAAATATCCCTAATTTCACAGTGTAATTTAAATAACACATAAACGAAAGATAAATGGTGGGGAGACACAGTTTGGGTACTGAATGAACAAGTGTTACCACCAAGAGACATGGTGGGGAGACACAGTTTGGGTACTGAATGAACAAGTTTTACCACCAAGAGACATGGTGGGGAGACACAGTTTGGGTACTGAATGAACAAGTTTTACCACCAAGAGACATGGTGGGGAGACACAGTTTGGGTACTGAATGAACAAGTTTTACCACCAAGAGACATGGTGGGGAGACACAGTTTGGGTACTGAATGCACAAGTTTTACCACCAAAAAACATGGTGGGGAGACACTGGCTGGTTACTGAATGTTGAGGTGCCTCACTTTTTTCTTTTTTCTTCCTCCTCTTCCTTCGACGTCTGCCTGGCCTTGAGGAGCTTGTACTTGACCTCCACCCCAAACACCTCCGCTTTGAGTTTCTTCTGCTGTATCACGTGCTGTCTGCGTTCCTAGGTGACAGACAAAGTCAATGATTACTCCAGTCTAGAGACGTAAAAAAGAAAGTTGACCAACTACGTATCAGCTATTAGAATATTTGTCACAACCAGCTGAAGAAACAGGCTCGCTCCTTAGCATCACAATCTTAAAGTTTTGCTCATTTGAAAAAGACATTTTAAAAAAAAAATGTTATGGGTCTTTCAGATGGTTTATAATAATTAATGTTGTCTGTGTCTATGTCTCTGTCTGTATCTATATCTGTGTCTGTGTCTATATCTGTGTCTATGTGTGTGTCTGTGTCTGTATCTATGTCTATGTCTGTGTCTGTGTCGATGTTGGATGGAAAGCAATTAAAACCATTAATCATCGAGTATGGTACAAACATCAAAATTAAATCATGGAATATTGTGACAACAGAATCCATTCATCGTGGAATATTGTAACTACACACTCCATTCATCACGTGGTAAGTGGCACTGACCAATGGCGCGGTGTCCTCGTGCTTATTTTTGATGACGGCTTGTTGACGTAGGAAGTAGCGGTAGTCGTTGAAGTCTCGTACGCTGCACGGGATGTTACCCTTGTCCGTGATCAGGTTCTGTTCTACCAGCTGCAGAGGGAAACAAAAGTGGGGGCAGGGGGGGGGGGGGCTAGATTTAATTGGGCGTTCCAGCCAGGGAGGAGAGTTTTTAAAAAAAAATGTTTTTTTCCGGAGTAGAACCGGGGTCTCAAACATTTACAGGTTCTGTTCTACCAGCTGCAGAGGGAAACAAAAGTGGGGGCAGGGGGGGGGGCTAGATTTAATTGGGCGTTCCAGTCAGGGATGAGAGTTTTTAAAAAAAAATGTTTTTTTCCGGAGTAGAACCGTGGTTCTCAACATTTGTAATGCCGCGACCCTTTAATATATTTCCTCATGGTGTGACGACCCCATTCACAACATTATTTTCGTTGCTATTTCATAACTGTAGGGTATATGTGTTTTCCGATGGCTTAGGTGAGCCCTTCAAAAGGGTCTTTCGACTCCCCAAAGGGGTGCGACCCACAGGTTGAGAACCGCTGGTGTAGAAGGTTGGGGATGAGAAGAGAAAAATGTAAAGATCTCAAAAAGATAAAGATGTATTACAATAATATTATTACCCTTTGTCGAACGTGAGGTTTTGAGAACCATCCTTTGAGGAACGGGTCGTACAGCGACTTGTACTCACTCTTAATGGTACGATTGTACGGGTCAGTCAAATCAAAGTCCTCACGTTGGCTGGATCTGTAGGCCTGTGGGGGGGGGGGAGGGGACGAGACATGAACGATTTAGAGAACCTTTCTACATCACATTATAACGTGTCACAACGGGGACGAGGCATGAAAGGCTTTGAGAACCTTGCTTAGTCTCGTCTCAAATTGCATATTCTACCGTCATTTAATGATCAGAACTCCAACAATCAAGTCTATTGCTCCTTTCATTGTGCCTGTGCATACTTCACTTTGGGAATACCCTGCAGTAATCTACCTGCTAACTGTCCCCATATAACGAGGGGCGGGTCCCTTCATTTTACCAAAAGTAAGTACAGAATATCTGAAGGTAAAACTTTTGGCTAAATGCTTCTCTGCAACGTGTCAAATGTGTTACTTATTCATCTTCATCTTATTTATGTTCACGTTTCGAAAACAAGTGTAGAAAGCCAAACACATTCTAAGGAATATGACAAAATCAAAAAGAAAATTGTAATGTGGGTCTCTAATGTTGTAGCTGCTGATGGCGGCTTTTCAATTGTCGTTACAGCGATTAAATCTAGTGTGACACTTACGGGTTGGCAGAATAAACTAGTGTGACACTCACGGGGTGGCAGAATTAAGCTAATGTGACACTCAAGGGTTGGCAGACTGAAATCTAGTGTGACACTCACAGTTTGGCAGAATTAAATCTAGTGTGACACTCACGGGGTGGCAGAATTAAATCTAGTGTGACACTCACGGGTTGGCACATTTTGGTCGTGACGAATGTCACTTCGCCTTTAGGGGCGGGGTCTACGGGAAACTTGGCATCCATTGGTAGAGTCTGCCATCGTGGGAGGGGTGAGCCAGCCTCGGGGATGGGGTGCTCCACGCCCTCAGGCTCAAGCCGTACTCTCGGGAGGAGGAGTCGGTCCATTTTAGTTTACGTCATTCATCTGAGGGGAGGAGTCAGAACAGCGGTCTATAAATGGTGGCCCGCGGGCCAACACCGGTCCGTGAGCCATACGTTGCCGGTCCGCACATCATTCATAGTTTATGGTTATTTCAAAAGAAAATATAATTAATAAATCTGCAACCTGTACCTTGTGCAATTTCGAAACTTGTCCATGGGTCCAACAAACTTTAAAGTTTTGGAAACGCTAAGGTAGAACTTTCAAGGCGCTATGTTGACCTAAATGTCCCCAACTTTGTTAAGATATCACTAACATAAGATGTGACAGGACCACGATTCCAGATATACCCCCCCCCCGGGCCCTCCTATTTTAAATTCATAAACACCTTTTCAACGTCTAATTCAAACACCAATAGCGGTACCTCAAATGTTCCCCAAAAGCAGACCATGTAACAGCTGATAACTGAAGTTGATGGCAGAAATAAGAAAACAAAAATTACCAGGACATGAAAACAAAATGAAAGATCATGAATGCCATGATATTGATATGAATGACATATGAATGCCATGATATTGATATGAATGACATTATATGAATGCCATGATATTGATATGAATGACATTGTATGAATGCCATGGTATTGATATGAATGACATTATATGAATGCCATGATATTGATATGAATGACATTGTATGAATGCCATGGTATTGATATGAATGGCATTATATGAATGCCATGATATTGATATGAATGACATTATATGAATGCCATGATATTGATATGAATGACATTATATGAATGGCATGATATTGATATGAATGACATTATATGAATGCCATGATATTGATATGAATGACATTATATGAATGCCATGGTATTGATATGAATGACATTATATGAATGCCATGGTATTGATATGAATGGCATTATATGAATGCCATGGTATTGATATGAATGACATTATATGAATGCCATGGTATTGATATGAATGGCATTATATGAATGCCATGATATTGATATGAATGACATTATATGAATGCCATGATATTGATATGAATGACATTATATGAATGCCATGATATTGATATGAATGACATTATATGAATCCCATGGTATTGATATGAATGACATATGAATGCCATGGTATTGATATGAATGGCAATATATGAATGCCATGGTATTGATATGAATGACATTATATGAATGCCATGGTATTGATATGAATGGCATTATATGAATGCCATGATATTGATATGAATGACATTATATGAATGCCATGATATTGATATGAATGACATTATATGAATGCCATGGTATTGATATGAATGACATTATATGAATGCCATGGTATTGATATGAATGGCATTATATGAATGCCATGATATTGATATGAATGACATTATATGAATGCCATGATATTGATATGAATGACATTATATGAATGCCATGATATTGATATGAATGACATTATATGAATGCCATTATATTGATATGAATGACATTATATGAATGCCATGGTATTGATATGAATGACATTATATGAATGCCATGGTATTGATATGAATGGCATTATATGAATGCGTGATATTGATATGAATGACATTATATGAATCCCATGGTATTGATATGAATGACATTATATGAATGCCATGGTATTGAGATGAATGCCATTATAGTAATGCCATTATATTGATATGAATGACATTATATGAATGCCACGCTATTGATATGAATGACATTATATGAATGCCATTATATTGATATGAATGACATTATATGAATGCCATGGTATTGAGATGAATGACATTATATGAATCCCATGGTATTGAGATGAATGCCATTATAGTAATGCCATTATATTGATATGAATGACATCATATGAATGGGAATGATTTGTATGACGTGTTATGAATGATGGCAAGAAAAGATGCACTACATAGATTCTAACTAAAAACCCACACATTCAAGTCTCGAGTTAGTGGCAATAATAAATAATACTAATATTGATAAAGTAGTTGCTCATGTCTCCCTGGATGCAATAGTCTCATAACGTAACATGAGATTAACTTTTGAACGGGGTCAACTACTTCATTTTTTTTTTTTAAACACCGTCCAGTTTGGAAGTTTTAGACGAACTGACAAATGACCCCTGGCAAAACCTGTCTCAGTATTAATTCACCTTAGATCCTGGGTGGCCATATCGTCAAGAAGTCAGACATTTTGTCATCATATTATGTAAAGATCTGCTATAGAAACACTGCTTAATGGTGCGTGAATGTGCGCGCAGTCTATAATATAAATATTATGTTAGATGGTGCGAACTCTAAATTAGTATTCTCATTTTTTTTAATCCTTTATTTTAATTTCGCTTTTGTTTGTGGCTGGCAAAATCTTCGGACGGCTAATTGACCCAGAGATGGATTACCGTAAGCGGCTAACATTGACACAATGAACAATTTTGGGCAACCCCTTCAACGCTAATGGTGCCAAGTTGTATCATCCACTTATGAGATTCCCTTGGGTTGTCAAAGTGCGTGGAGAGAGATGATTTTCTGTCCTAAAAGTTAATTCCCAGCCCTTGTGATTTTGTCCTGTGAACTCTACACTGCACACTGACGGATGATGACAGAAAAAAAGGAATACAAATGTAAATGCTTTAATGGTAACGCTTATTTTCTTACCTCTTAAGTTCTGCTGAACTTCGGAGTTAAGAAAAATAAGCTTTTATATTAAAACATTTAAGTTAAACGCTTATTTTTTCTTTCTTTTTTTTTAAATTAAAAAATAAGCGTTTATATTAAAATGCTTTAATATGAACGCTTATTTTCTTAACTCTTAAGTTTTGCTGAGTTTTACAAAAATGATGATCATCTTCCTCAGCTGGAGTTGGATGAAGGTTGCCAGCACCTGTTGTGGCTTCCACCCAGCTTCCCAACTTTTATTGCATTGTTTCCACAAGCCCTTACCCTCCACGATGGCCAGGCTTTATAAGCATCCAGGAAGATCTATCCTTGGAGGTTACTAAATAACTAGGCATCTTTAACAAGGTTTGCAGTATTTTGAGAACTCTGTTTTCATTTTGTTAATTTTTTTACTTTGTTGTTGCTATTTAAGAATCATTTTTGTTAACAAGGTAGACACATCAAGTTTTTACCTTGATTTGATTAGTTCATGGCTATGTAATAGGGCTTAACATGGATATTCCTCCTGTGTTTTTACCTCCCCTAATGTTTGAACTTACCTCCCCTGTTTGTTATTTTTGTGTAATTTTGGCTGACACAAACAAAGTAACTAAAAATGGAATTTATAAATGATTTTTAATAAGTCATGATTGATATAACCTCAAATTAACAGCCTTCAATTTTAACCCACCGTCAAAAGTGTTCATATTTTGTTTGGAGATGCAAGTTTTGCCAGACGGATTTTTTTAAAAAGATTTCATGATCTTCATTAACTTCTTCGTTGATTGAAAAATGTCAAACTTTTATTCTTTCCATAGGTTGGAGCCAAGCCAACTGACAACAGTTTTGTCTAACACAGGTATAGATAACCCACTGTGGATTCTTTTGATGGCAGAGGAGCTTTAGATGTTTGGAGATTTTCATTTGATGAATTCTGAAATTGCACAATTTTCCAACAAATTGTCAGGAGTTCTGGCTCAAACCATTGACAGGATGATTCATGAAGATGATCGAAATGGAGTTATCAAAAAGGTGTCTTGAAATATGTATCATTTTATGCTTAATAAGACACACAAAAAACTCATGAGCAATAACATAATGTAACTTTTCCTCAGTCCAATTTTGATTTTTCGATGTTATCAATATTGGGATAATCCCAGTTTGATTTGCTTATATAGGGTAGTAATGCAGAATTTTAGCCATCTAGGTTCTGAGCTTGATAGCATGCACTCGGCATGGTCTGCCAAGTGACCAAATTCTCAAGATTTGTGGAGATGTTGAAACTAAAGCAGAGCTGCCTCCTCTGTCCTGGGCTCGGGCAAAGGGCTCTCATGTCTCATCTTAGCTTTTCAGGGCGCTCTGAAGAAATGATGACGTACTGTTATCAAAATGTCTTGGAGGAAGGTAAACGAAGGGGCGATCAACACATACCAATGGAGGAAATTTTGATTCTTTTATCTTTAGTGAGACTGGGGAAAATAATTTTATAAACTCAGGAAATTAACTCAGAAACTTTGTTTGAGTAATTTACTTCCAACTAAGTGCAGATGAAACTTAAAATTTGCCCGAGCTCATGAAAAGTGCACACACGCACACACACAACTTATCACCTGACACACACACACACAACTTATCACCTGGAACACTTAGGAAAGTTCCAACAATGAAAATCCTCCAAATTTCAAAACATTTCAGGTGGTTCGAGCACAACTCTTACCAAACCAAGCTGAAGTTGTGTCTCGGCACTTAATGTTAGCCAAGAACCGGTACTGGCGCAACCATCCCAGGGCTAGATGCTATCACCTGCTATACCACCTTGAAGCTACAGAGATGAGGAAAAGGTAGCCATGATCTGCCCATTTTAAATCGCTCCCCACTGCCAGCTTGCATAACAGCTTTTAAAGTGGCGATAGCTTTGCCATTGAAAGCGCACTTTCGCATTTGCTGGTCGAACCATTTGGAACGCCCTTCCACTCGATTTTCGAAACATCCAGACACTGGAGTCCTTTAAAACCGATTTAAAGACACATTTATTTCGCAAACACCTTCTGGGATGATTGTCTACCATATTTTCCATTTAATGCATATTGGATGTGTTTCTTGGGGTTGAAATGGCTAGAAAGACTTTGCCATTGTATGCTTGTAATTGGTTTCTGCAGTGTTGCGTTTGTTTTAAATGTGGTAAACTAAAGATTTGTTGTTTTTTTTTTGTTGACTTTGTACCGCGCTTCGAGCCTTTGGGGATGAAGCGTGTTTTTGAAATGAACTTTATTATTATTATTATTTTACCAAGTTACCGCTGATCCTTACTTTGTAAGTTGATACACAATTTGTATTTCCAGTGGATTCAGAGAAGAGTGTTTGCATAATTTATTTGACAAATTTCTTTTTATAACCGCTCTCTTTGCCTCAACATTGAACTAATTTATCCTTTATCATGGGTTGGGTTGTTGTTGTTTTTTTTTGGACTCTCCTGTCCTGTCTTTTCTATTTTCATCGATATAAAAACTATCGGAAATGAATCTATTGTTGATTTTCTATTTATTTTTTTCATGTAGTAGAATTTAATTTGGTCCCGACCTAGATAGAAACTGATAGCAAAGATCTAAGAGCTGTTTGAATATATCTCACTGACAGTGAAACAAAGATTAAAGCAAGGCATAAGCTTTTGAGAATAACAAACTAACCTTGATTTAATTCCAAGACAAAAAAAAATAAATCTTTGGGGCATGTGCCAGAGCTAATGGGGTTGTGTTCGTTTGTTTACAGACTTGTTGAGTTCATGCAAAGAGACCCGGGCTCTTACTTTTACATCAACCAAATTCAAAGAAGTAATATTCTGCGGGTAAGTCATTGTAGTTTCTTTTGCCATTAAGACAACCAGATTCTGTATTATGAACTTCCTTGTCTAAAATCCTGAGAAGTTTTAATGTCTAGGAAGAACATTGGCCTTAAATGTTGTATTAGTTGTGTAAATACCAGGCTGTGACTTTCTCTAGAAATAAAGATCAGACTTCTGTTAACTGTGGTTCTCAAACTATTCCTGTGCTGGGTTACAGGAATGCCCCAACAATATCACATCAATGACCCTTAGCCGATGTAGTTTTAGAGCAAGCCCATCAATGTGTCCTTAGAAAAGACATGTCATGGATCATATACAAAACACTCGCAGTGCAATTTTTAACCTAATATTCTGATGCACTAATGGGGGCTTAATGAAATGAAAAAGTTTGGGAAGCACTGCCTGGTTTAACTGCACTGCCTGGTTTAACTGCACTGCCTGGTTTAACTGCACTGCCTGGTTTAACTGCACTGCCTGGTTTAACTGCACTGCCTGGTTTAACTGCACTGCCTGGTTTAACTGCACTGCCTGGTTTAACTGCACTGCCTGGTTTAACTGCACTGCCTGGTTTAACTGCACTGCCTGGTTTAACTGCAGTTTAAAATAAAAACGACTGGTGGCAGCGGGTACCTTCCAACAGAACTTTGTCAAATGCTGGCTTCAAAGATTGAACTTTTTTTTTTCTTGGAACCTGAGATGTCACTTTATAGCTGATGTTGAGATTCCTGCAACAGCACCACTCATGTTATGCCACTCTTGTGGATGGAGCCCCGGCTGCAACTATCCCAACAAAAGCTGCTGTGGGGCATTTTGCCACCAGGGATTCTCCCAAAAGTCTGCAAGTGCTTGTGTGAAGCATGCTAATAGCAGGGGAGCTGGCCAGGTTAAGTGTGTTGTGTGCAGCTTTGTTGTAAATGTCAATACTCAAAATGGACCCCCTTGTCCCCTGCTCCAGCCCAGCTGTGTCACATGTGCAGTTTTGGTGTATTGGAAACAAGGTGTGCACACTTTAATCTTTTGGGGATTGTCATAAATCTTTTCGAGTTTTACAAGATGAAACAATGTTGCTATCAAGATTTCCTAAATAAACTTTGAGAAACGGTGGAATTTGTAACAAACATGACAATCACATTTTTTTGTAAATTGATGTACCAGTTAGTTATGTAGGCTGATGACTTTGATCACTGTAATTATTTACGTTTGATAGCATACAGTACAGAAAGTTGAAGATCTCGGCGGAACAATGTCTCAACTGATGAGTCAGATAGTTTTGTATTGTGAGCCATAAGATCATTTTAGATACCTACAAAAGTGGGAATATTAGACATATGTAGAAGTGTCATCCACACAAAAAAAATGAGTTTCCCGATTCAAAAGCCACAGTTTTTAAAGTTCACTTACTAACAGTTTTATAATATATAAATTTGAATGTGGGTAATTTTAACTTGTAATTTAGTTAAGCATATAATATTGTTTTTTGGTTTTTATATAAATTTGCAGGTTACTTTTAATTATTTTTAAAAATCTTAACTTGTATGCAAATACATTTTCCACATATTCATTGACATTTTGCTTAGTTAGTTATTTTTAGTATTTTATTTTCCAAAAATATAACATTTTTTAGAAATTGCATGTGTTTTTCTTTTCATAACATTTTGGTCTGACAACATTTTGGTCTGACAACAAGGGATAAGGTTAAATCTTAGACCATTTATTACAGTGGTATTAGGCCTTCAAAACTGCACTCAAAACATATCTTTTTAAATTATACTACCCAGACTGATTCCCCTCCTCTGACCGATAAATGATCTTGCTGGCTGCCGTCCATGGTTTGCCTTGTAACAGTTATGTGGTGGGGTGGGTGAATATACATTGCTGTACTTTATTTCATAAATGTATTTTATTTTAATGTCATGATTATGTCTCTTTTGATAAAATTTTTATGTACAGCGCGGTGAGCCCAGCCCTAGGCTGGGGTACCGCGCTATATAAGACCTCTTATTATTATTATTAGAATCAGAACCAGTGACTAGTCGATTTTATAAATATTTTTGAAATACATGCATCAAATAGAAGAATTTTGTTGTTCCACCTTCATGGTAACAACTCTCTTCAACAATATTTTAGCACCATCACTTTATGTTTCATATTAAAGCAGTTTTAAAAATGTTTTATTTACATACATAAATGCTTGCATACAAGTGAGAATTTTATGAGTAGGACATTGGCTTGCATACAAGTGAGAATTTTATGAGTAGGACATTGGCTTGCATACAAGTGAGAATTTTAGGAGTAGGATGTTGGCTTGCATACAAGTGAGAATTTTATGAGTAGGACATTGGCTTGCATACAAGTGAGAATTTTAGGAGTAGGATGTTGGCTTGCATACAAGTGAGAATTTTATGAGTAGGACATTGGCTTGCATACAAGTGAGAATTTTAGGAGTAGGATGTTGGCTTGCATACAAGTGAGAATTTTAGGAGTAGGACATTGGCTTGCATACAAGTGAGAATTTTAGGAGTAGGATGTTGGCTTGCATACAAGTGAGAATTTTAGGAGTAGGACATTGGCTTGCATACAAGTGAGAATTTTAGGAGTAGGATGTTGGCTTGCATACAAGTGAGAAGTTTAAGAGTAGGACATTGGCTTGCATACAAGTGACAATTTTAAGAGTAGGACATTGGCTTGCATACAAGGGAGAATTTTAAGAGTAGCACATTGATGTTGCATACAAGTGAGAATTTAAGAAGGACATTGGCTTGCACACAAGTCAGAGTTTTAGGAGTAGGACATTGGAGACCTGGATTAAAACAAATAAAACCAAGTAAAGAAAAATTTATTTATTAATTTATTTTTGTTACCTCTTTTGATTGAAAATCGACCTATTAATAACTAGGTCAAGATTAAAACAGGGAATCAGAAACTAGTTCTGCATGTCCTAGTTAAGGCTAACTGTATAGATCCACCAGATAACATATTCTAGACACCCTGTGTATGGATGGAAAATAGAAAACAAAATAAGAGACATTTACATATTACCCATCAGCTATTTGATTAAATTTAAATGGGCTCTTCCTGAATTATTGCATTGGGAAAATTCCACAATAAACTTTTAAAATTTATTGAGAAAAAAATAATTAATTGTGGATTTTTTTTTCCCCCTGAATTATTGCATTGAAATAAATTTTTATTTACCATTCATTGCTTTTGAATGACTCAAATGGAAAACTGAAAATAAATCAAGCCATCATTGTAATTGTATTGACTGCATTACAATGGTGTGAAGATTATGACCAGAATATAATCTGAAAAAAATTCACATGAAATGAACCTTGCCTTAAACTAATATATGACATTAGGAACTAAACTGAACCAGAAGGAAAGAATAAAAGATCAAATAAATACTTAAAAATGTGTATTAAAGATAAGTTACATGATGAAATTATGGATCAAAATCAAATTTAGGGGGCAATAATATTTTAAAACTGCAAAATTGAAATTTGATTAATTTTTTTTTAAACCGTAAAACAAAGATTCTTGGAATTTGAGAGTGTGAAAAGTCAAATTTTATGATTGGAATTGAAAGTGTGTGTTTTAAGCTTGAATAGCTGTAGTACTTTGTAATATGACACAGTGACGTTCCTTAAAATTTTAGAAATAGTGTTCAAGTAAAGACATAATAATTGTTTCATTGTCATATATGTGATCATGACCTCAAGAGCAAAATGCATGTTTAAATTAAGGTGTCCATTTGCACCTCCAGAACTTTCAAACTTTGGGCAAGTGCCCCTACATGGAACACCACTGGTAGTAGAGGTAACACAGAACTTTCAAACTTTGGGCAAGTGCCCCTACATGGAACACCACTGGTAGTAGAGGTAACACAGAAATTTCTCAGTTTAAGATCCAGTAATTGTTACCTGTTACAACCTGAAAGTCCCATATGTAGTTGATCAGTCTTACGTGCTAGGGTTAGAGTCACTGCATATCACTTTGTGGACTC